AAGTGTTGAAAAAGGAGTTAAGTATGTATGACAAAACAAATACAAATTTCACACATGATCGCTTGCGCTAAATACTCTATTAAAGTAGTTGAGCAAGATTACTAATCTGAGATAAATGAATTTTATTAATATTGAAATATATAAGGAATTAATGGATATTGCTAGAGCTTAGAGCTAATAAAATCACATGTGTCACATTCTTATAGAAACAATTTAGGGTATTAAACGTAAAGTTTTTTTTTTCTATTTTGTTATTATTTATAAATGGCTATTATGCAACAACACCATGCTGATCAAAGTTCCCCAAGATTTATATAATAATAATCACAACTAAGTTTGATAGAAGTTTTATTTAATTAAATTTGATGTCTCTATTTTGTAATTAAAATATATGTAACACGTGTCAGTCATGAAATTATATTTTAATATGTGTAAAAAACTTCCAATTATATTTTGTCACGTGTAATTTTTTCTTTAGCTGTTAAAAGAATTTTATTAATTTTAGAAAATGTGATACTGTTATATCTTTAGATAAAATTACACAAACAAAGATCACAATGGGAAATTCATATTTGCAGGGCAATCAAAGATCAAACAAGTCACATCATGTTTACATGTCGAAGCTATGAGATTTCTTCATGTTATCCAAACACTCTGGATACAAGGATGGAGGATGATTTGGTTTGAAAGTGATAATTTGGAGTTAACAAACTTAATAAACAGTGGAGGTACAAATACTTAACTCAACAACATCCTATTTGATATAAGGCATTGGATATTGAAGCTGCCAATGTGCTCGTTGAATCATGTCAATCGTGAACATAACCAAGCAGCAGATCAATTAGCAAAACGTGCTCATTCCATTGATGTAATTTTTACATTATTAGATCGGCCACCTTCTTAGCTTGTAAACTTCTTGTATTTCCCGTTTACAATTTAATAATATAAATAGATGTTAAAAAAAAAACACAAACAAATTATTTATATATATAATATAATTTTTATTTTTGCTGATAATTTAGTTTATTTTTTATAAATCCGCATATACAATGAGTATGTGTTATATAGAAAATATGTTGTGAGTTATGTTTACATGTTTTGTTAAGATTAGAAATAATACTAAGAAGTTAGAGAGAGAAGGCATCATCGGACGCACGGCACAACTCAATGACACAACTTCTCCTTCGAATTGAAAAAGCCATTTAAACAATAAATATAATATAATTGGAATTGTATACTATTTAAATTGACGTTAAAAGTTTGAAGATTTCCACGTAAAATGGAGGGACGTGTTAAAAGTTGGTAAATTAAAATGAAAAAAATAGTTAGTATATATAATATTTTACATATGCAAAAGCTAATATATTAATGGTAAGAAAAATTTAGTTGGTGTATTAGAATTTTTTTTACATAATATACGGATTAAACTAAACAAAATCATTTCTGTCGTATATAATACCTTTTTCTTTTAAGAGATTTTTTGATTACCTAAACTTAATGGATTGGTCCCTGCAAAAGCACATGTATTGTTGATCATATCTATATAGACAGAGAACAAGTCACATATGTATGTCTTTGTCGAGAACCAAAACTTCGATGTACAAAAGAATAATAAAACCAAAATATAAAATTGTCTATTAATATGTCTGCACATCATGTCATCATGTTCTAACGAAATGGTCATATATATACACAAAATGGACAATACGAAAGTATCTAGAACATGAAGAATAAATTTTCAAAATGCATAAAACAATGTATAGAGAAGAAACAAACGTGATTAGTTAGAGCTAGTTAGAAGATGGTCATTTCGGATACGTCATTACGTTTGGGAAGAATGATCTATGAATTGTGAGATCATCACATAATTACATATATCATATTAGATTCTAAATATAAGATTGATCACCATTCTCTAGGCTAAAAAAAAATATGAATTGAAATCGTGAAATGTTTTGAACAGGAAAAAACATAATAGTAGATTACGGCTAATCAAACAGTTGTCGGTGCATAAGATATTGGATTCAAACCCTAAATCTGTTTACTTAGATATAAGTTTATTTTATGATATCAATCGAGGCATTTGCGTCTAAAAGTAAACACAAATGCTACTACATTTTTTATGGTGAAAAATTCTACCTCAATAAAATTAATAATACATATATATATATATTTATATAGTAGAAAGGAAATACAAATGGCAGCTTTACGATTAGAGGGATACACGTTACATTAAAAAAACTTTGTTCAAAAAAATAAATTAAAAAAGCTTTATCAAATATCCACATTAGTGACAGTAAACTGACAAATGTAAGCTATGTTTTTCTTTTGTTTGTTCTAGACAAATGTAAGGTCTAGAATTATGCAGTTGCTACAGTTTTGGTCTAAGCTTGCTTAAAAATTTATCTTAATTCCTTTCATAATAATTTTAACACTTCTTTAGTATCACTTTTTGGATTTGATTGAACTCTAATTCATTCTTCATTTTACTTAAAATTAACATGATCTTAAGTAATTAGTTTTGAAAAATGTTTCTCTGTGTTTTTTTTTTTTTTGGATTGATACAAAGAGAATTGAACAAAAACATTATTCAATTATACATGTGTTGGGAACCATATGTATCTCGCAACGACCTATTTTTGTCTATCCAGACATTTTTAATGTAATAGGATATCAGCCAGAACTTTTTAAAAATAACCGCATATTGTTATGAAATGAAACCATGGACCCTTCATCATAGTTCCACAAACGATTAATTACTCGCTCGATTTTCTCCACTCAACATTCTAAACAACAATATATCATATTTGGCGGACACGGTAATACAACTCATCGACACAATTTCTTCTTTATTCTTATTTTTCAAATCAACAAGATTAATTCGCAGCAGAATCACTTGGTCGGCACCACCAATCTCCTTTCCTCCAAACACAAAAACAAAGATGGATCGTAGGAGAAGCACAACGTGATGTTATTAATTCTTCTTTCTGGCTCATCTTTAATTTGGAGATAACAAAATAACTGGTTTTGTTTCTAAAACTCTTTTTGGGACTTCTATTGTAAACAATTGTTACACAAAATGTAAAATTTCAAAAAAAAAAGAACTTGATAATTGATCCTCATTTCTCCATTAATCTACTTCACATGGCAGTATAAATACTAAGTTACTAAATATTTTGAATTGAATGCAAAAACATAAGACTGACTTTAGTGTTGGTATAGCGGATTCAGTTGACAAAATTAAAATATTCAAAGAAAGAATATTAATGCACTAGTTCCTTAATATTTCAAGTCATGGCGGTGAAATATAAACTCGTTCACAAGAATGACCCAAACTCGTCGAATGCAGTCGTCATAGACTCATCATATTCAAGTATTTTTTTGTCCAACCCTCTAATTCAAAAAAAAAAAAAAAAAAAAAACACGAGATTGGTCGCTGTCGCGTAAAGGAACAAAACAAGGCCTTAAGTCCCACATTGGATTCTCCTATCGCACCGCTATTCTCTGAACCCTATTTTGTCCTTTTCAATTTTCATGACTTCAATCCACAAGAACACAACAAAGAGAGTGAGAATTAGTGATTTACATGCAACACATAAATTTAATACTATGTGTGCTCCCCAATACTACTGGTGCGTAGCATGAATAATTACTAATCATAATGTTTTAGCCGTTTATTAAAATAATTTATAAATAAAGTTTTGGCAAAGTAGTCAATAATATAAAGAGAGATTAGTGAGTGTGCAATTGTGCACGTAAAAAGCTCCTTAACCTGAAAAAAAAGGAGAATCGCATTTGTTATTGGATGACTTTAGAAGAGGCCTCCTTAAAAAGAAGCATGCACTGGAATTCTTCCGAATCCTTTTAAGTCATAAAATAAACCTTCCATGCATGTGTGCATTATAAAAGTGTTCATTTTTCTTCTCCTTTTTAAATGGTTTCAACCATATAATTTATCTTTTTCTTTAAATAAACATATGATTTTATAGATCCCAACATATTATTTGTTAATGAGAACTATCTTGTCCCACATCTAGAACCTTTGATAAAGTAAAGCCGTAATTACATGTACATATTAGATTTGCTGAGAAATACCTTCGTTTGAGACTTTTGTATATGAAAAAAAAAATTTGTATGAATTTTCAAACATTGGGACAGCAATCTTATGATACTTAATTATTTATTAATTTCTTAATATCATATAGATTTCTGTTTATTGGGGAAAAAACTAGAAGTATCGTACGGTTCAATCTAAATTTAAACTATACCCAAAAAAAAACAATCCAAAAGCTGATCAACGTCATTGTGTTCCATCAAAAAGTTGATATGAACTAAAAAGAATAAAATAAACCGATTGAAACTATATTCTTTTTAAAAATTCAAAAATCAGAACCGAAACTGAATGAAAACACTTACAAGTACATAGTGTAACACTAACAAATATGTACAGAACTACAGACACATAACTAGTCTAATATTACAATTGGTAGGCCAAAATAATTTCAACCTAGCTATGAGCATATCGAATTTCTTACGTCAAAATGACATAGATCAATAAACGAGTACAGAGGAAGACAAAGGCTTTGACGTGTGGACTTCTTCTCTTGTGTGAAATTATTGGTAACTTTACTAATATTATATTCGTGGTTGAGGTTATTGGTAAGATTTGCTCACGTCACTTCCTCTCCGGTCTTCATAGGCAATTAGGCATAATTGTCTAAATTCAAATTAGTATTTTTCAACTGTGCACTCAAATTTGTGCATACATATGTATAGCCAGAATATTCATGAAACCGAGACATAGCTAGAACCAAATGTGATGAGCTATATATGGAATTAAATCTAATTTAGAAGCTAGCCATTATCATCATTAGATTCACATCTTTGTAATATGGATTTTCATTTATAAATTATAATAATTATAACAAAAAGAAAAATAGAAACTAGTCTTCAAGAAAATAATTGAACTAAGTGATGATATACATAGATAGAACTAAATGTGATGAACAAATTATGTAATTAAGCTAATTTAGAGTCTGACCATTATCATCATTAGATTCACATCTTTGTACACTAAACTCTCTTTCATAACAAACAAAAAAAATAACTAAAAAGCTAAGAGAACAAACTGAATATTGAAATCCAAACACTCTTAAAAAACCTAACTACTAATATTGTAACCGAAGTTTCATGGCATGTAATTAAAAACAAACTCAAAAACTCACTAAAATGTTTACTTTTGTTATTTAACGGCGCCGTAAAAACACCGTCTCTAAATCACGAGGAGGCGTAAAGAACTCTCTAACGGCGTTACTCCGACATTTTAACGCCGACCGTCGTTTCCTAGGCGTTGGTGGACATTTCAATTTCTCCGGTATCTTTGCTTCCTTCGCCGTCGGCGTCATCGAACATTCTTCCTCTTCTTCAACTCCGGCTTCGATCTCCGGCGCTCTGAGTTTCGTCTTCACCGGTTTCAACGATGCCCGAATCGAAATTCCGGCGATAACCCATTTCTTCCCGTCGGTATCTAAACCTCCGTCTAATTGAGATTTCTTCGAAAAACCCATATCTTTAACTAACTCTAACCAAGATAAAAAAACAGAGTAAAAAAAAGTAAGAAGAAGATAAAAACAGAGACTTGTTTCCACTTGCTTAGGAAACACGACGACTGGAGAAATTAGAAAAGATATAATATATTCTTTGAATCAAATGATAAGAAGAGGAATCGGAATAAGGAACATGAACAAAAATGGTTAGAGAGAATGGAAGGAAAGTGGGAAAATGATAAAACTTGTGGTTGGTCAATTTTGTGTGTGTGAAAGGGAGAAAGATTTTTTTTTTAAGAGAAGAGGGAATATAAAATGAGGGGAAAATTTATGATAAAGAGAGCTTTAAATAGTCGGAAAAAATATTCTGTCTTTGACGTTTTGCAAATGCCGACTCTGATCAGGAGAAAAATAAAAGGGGGAGTTTTTGAAGAAGATGAAGAAAAAGGGGTATACTTGGAAATTTAAAAAGAATAAACTTTAGTTGCCCGAGAAAAAATTACGGGCAGTCTCTGAATCACCGTCTTTTTTTGGCGCCATAATTTGAGAGTTTTGGTTCGCAACGGCTCTTTTTCGCGCCTTTGATTGTGTTTTATTGATTTCCGATTTTGCCCTTAATATCTGTTTTGGAAGATGGATTTTATTTTCCCGCGAAATTTAATAAGCCGGGCCTGGGCTTGATCCGCTCGACACACCTACTTCGAATATGTTATTTTATAACGGTAATCGACTTTTGTGATACACTAGATATACCTAATATTTTTTGAATTTCACAAAAGTTTCACATACAACCTACTTCGAAGATTAAGAGTATATAATTTCATTTGTCCATCGACTCTACCTTCATAAACAGAACAACATATATGCACGCTCGAATTTGGAAAATAAGGCTATCACTTTAATAGATTATAAGTTATCACATTCAGCGTATTTAGAACCAAATTTGGTTAGGGGTAAAATTTTATAAATAAAAAAAATAATAAGTTGAAGGCAATATTTTATTTTTTACCACTAAATTAAAATTATTAAAATTAAATTAAATTAAATTATTTTAAAAAATAAACTAACATATGACACCATATAATGCTTATTACCTTCGCCCCTGATCACACTGCTCATTTGTGTATAAAGTCGTATATATACGGAATACGGTGATTGGTGACTTGTAAAACTATATGTGACTCCACAAAAATGAAGATCCATGACACTTGAAGTAGAAGTTGTTTCATTTTAAATCCTTCAATCAAAGACTGATATAATTTTTAAATAAAATCACAGTTTCTTTAAGATTATACTATATGTATAAATAAATAAATAAATGTTTTTGACAAAAATAGTCCTATATTTTTTCCTTGGAGAAAAATATGATGTTATCAAATCTATTGTTCAGGTTTGCGATTGGCTATTTGATAAAGATTTGAGCCATTCTTTATTTCTTTATGCTAAAAAAGTGATCAATATTCAATTATTAGGCGGTAGAATGAATGGACCCTTGAGAGATGTGAATGGTGAAAGAGACAAGTTGAACTTGAAGATCGGGACTAGCTAGGGTTGACATGGTGTCACATATACATTAGAGTTATGCGCATTCAAAACGTTATGAAATCACAAGATGTACAAATGGAGAATAATAATTTTGAAATATACAAAAACTGAACTTGATGGCGTATATGTAGATCATAATGGACCCACAAAAGAGCCGGCCCTTATCTATTTTAGTGTGGAAGAAATGGGACCCTTTTGCTTTGCTAATTCTATTATTTACTTATCCAATGTGACCAAAGGTCCAACCCAATAAATTCTCGATAATCTCTCATCTACTACTATTGTATTCAATTCGGTTATTTTGATCTATGAGGATTTTTATTTTATGATATACAAAACTGAATCTAAAGTGTGCCAGATAAGGATGATTCACAAGTTTGAGTTGTTTTTCAAGTAATTTCACATTTTTTTAGTTTAATTTTCCTTCCGATATCTCCCTCTCGACAGTTTTCCGTCATTTATGTTTAGAAGATATACCAACTAAAATTACAAATCGCTCCAATGTTTTTTCTTCACTTAGTACTATGAAAAATCATACTTTAGTTAGCGAACCATAAACTGTTCTATAAGAGTTTACTTTGTAAAACCGGTGAAACAGAGACTTGTGTAGCACACGATAGAATTGCAAAAAACCTTTTGCCTTTTATTAGAAATTGCTTAGACAATCTATTCAAGATCTGTCTAATCAGAATTACACGATCTTGCTTAACAAGCAACTCGACACTGACCAATTCCTAATCTACCCAAGTATAACCCAACAACAGTTGTGTTGCACACACTTAGAACACTCACCAAGAAACCTAATCCTCTCTCTAGTTTTCTTGTGAACTCTCTCAATAATTCTTCTAAAGTGCTAACCCAATCCCTAGGTTAGACTCCCGTATATATACCACTTTGCATTACACAGCTAGTGAATATACACTTTCCTTTTGTTGAGATCTTCTATGATTCTTCAGTATCAGATCTTCCAAATATCCTTTCATCGCAATCCTGCTTGCTCCTCACGAAATCTCTTTGAGTCGTCCAATCAGTTACTGCCACGTCACTCTCACAAAGCTCTTCTGTCCACGTCATCTTTGTGTGTCACACACCATCCAAAACTTGGATCTTACATTCTCCCCCTTTTTGTCTGAATGTGTCAATTCAAGCTCCCTGCAAGAACCATGACCAAAACAGCACGCACACAAGCAATAGCCAAGCATACACACAAATCCAAGATAAGATCAAGGCAAGGCATCGTCATTCCAAATTCATCCATAAGTTCTTTAGAAAAAACGAGGAGAAAATAAGAGTCAAACACACACATGTGGTGCCAACATAACAACCAGAAAATTCAACCTAAACAACCAACAACATCAAAACAATGATAACTCAATCACTCGTCATCATCCCCCTCTTCCTCTTCCTGCTGCTCCCCCTCAGTGTCAGATTCCATAACAGGATCACATGACGAGGCCGATGTCCCATATTCTCCCCCTGCTTGAATGCACATTTAGAGAAAAAAAACAAGAGAGCACGGACCAAGAAGGAAAATCAAGAGCACTTACCTTTGAGACGTAGCTGAATGCGGCGTATCCAACGGGCAAGTTGATCGAGATCCGCAGCCATGGTGGGAAGAGTAGGCGAACCCTCATCCTCAGAACCTTTCCCAGCTTTCTTTTCCAAGGTGATCCGTAGAGGAAATCCTTGCATTGGTAGATCGCCACAATGTCCAGGAATGATGCGTTGAAACAGCAGCATCTGATGAATGAGGTTGGGGAACATCAGCTTGAGATTCACCGACTCCGGAGTACGCGCAATGGCGACGATCTGATCATACACCAGACGGCCAAAATTGAGCGGATGACCACGAATGAGAGAGGCCACGAACTTCACTCGATCCTTTACCATCGTGGTATGGTTGGAGGAAGGAATCCAATTCCTGCAACAGAGCTTGTAGAGAACCCCATACTCTGGTTTGAGATGTTTGGACGCAAACCCTTCCCACCGATGTTTCCTTTCACCGGAGACAACCTGGACAGCCTCAATATTCATCTGATCCCAGTCTCCAGTCGGAGAATTCTCATCCAACAGAAACATCCGATTGATGATATCAGGCGTGAACTCATACATCTCACCACGGATGAACACCAGATTAATCCCATTACGATACTCCAAATCCGGCAAATTGGCATAGAATTCGTGAACCACAGTAGGCCGATACGGTTCAACGTCCAGAACCGTGTAGGTCATGTTCACGGCATCCAAGAGGCGGCGCACTCCGACGAGCTGAGAGTCATCCAAAGGAAGAAACTTCTGGTCATGAAACGAACGAAGCCGGAGGGAATCATACCTCTCACGAGCGGCAGCGGAAGTAAAGTTGTCGCGAGAGTATCGAAGAGGACGAGCGAGCTCGGGTTGCATGTGGTCGCGAGCCAGCGTAGTCTCACGATTAGCGCGATAGCGAGACTCAAGATCGACATATGAGTTAGGAGGACCCTCTCGCTCATCACCAGACCCATCAAGCATCTCCTCATCACCAGATTCAGCAACGGGATTGGAGAACAGATCTGCAGGATCTTCGAAGTGCGGCGGAGGCTGAGAAGAACGACTGGAGTCGGAGCTGCGGTCTTCGTCATCAGACACGACGACGACAGACTTGCCATGGCGTTTGCTCGCCTTCTTCTTGGCAGATTGACGGCGGAGAGCGGAGGCAAGGGTGTCATTGTCATCAGGTTCCTGACGAGAGGCCGCAATTGCAGACTCCATCAGCTTGGAGGCTTGAGATCGTGTACGGCGAGACATAGATCGAGCTCAGAGATGGACACGGTGTGAAATTGGAGAGGATTGCGTCGCACACGGTTAGGGTTTGATGGCACACCAAACGTCAGCACAGCATATATTCAAGCGGGAAACTGTAGCATGACCTAACACACACTCAGAGACAAGATAAGCCCGATAACAATGGGCTAGAGGCCCAAAAAAAAAAATCCACAGAGTGACACAAACCCAAGCATGAGTAACATACAAGACATCACATAGAAACTGTGATCGAGTGACCCATGAACATCACTTAGGCACACCAACACCTAAACACCAAAATGCAGAATTAATGCGGAAAAAAAACTCTTATTTACAGCTCACATAAGGAGAGGTGATTACCAAAGGTGGCAGATTGAAGGAAAGAAGCAAGAAATCAACTCGTGAGCAAGTGAGGCAGCCATTCCTTCAGCTGAAGTGCTTTCACCTCACTCATTCTAAGCAGGAGATGTCCCGGTGCGATCCAGACGTTTATGGCAGATGGAATGAGGTTTGTGTGGAACACGGGTATGAGATAGATGAGTCACGTGTCCACTTCGCCATCGGATTCAGGGGGTACTATGCCATGACAACAACAAGGACATTTTGACCACACTGTGTTTAACATAGTGCATGTGCTGCGTACCCTTAGCCAAGGAGCATTCACACATCCTTTTTTTTTTTTTTTCGCAAGAGAGCATGAAGCATTAGTGGATTGTGTCCCAGTTGTTGTCACTGTCTATTCATTTGTGCTGCCATCCCTCAGTTGAGGCGCATTCACACACTACTGGAAACGACCCTTGACAGGCATAGAATTACTCCCCTTAGCACATGACACCCAGCCCATATCCATGTTCAACCATTCCTGTCAGTGATCATAACCAGACTGAAATGTGGTAGCATCTCAATCCAGTATGAGTGACGCTCATCATGGCAACGTATCAGC